AGGTCCTTGGAGAGGGACATCATGCTTGGGAGGGTGGAGGGACAGCGCAGGAGAGGAAGATCTCTATGAGATGGATTGATTCAGTGACTGGGGTAATCGGGATGGATGTGTCAGAAGCAGTGCAATTAGCACAGGACAGAGCAGGGTTTAGGGCTGTTGTACATAGGGTTGCTGTGAGTCACAAGCGACTTGACAGCACATAACAACCACCACCACCACCACCACAAAGTTCCTTTCAACAGGTGAAGAGATTAAAAAACTCATTGCTGTCGTGTTGGGAGCGACTCACAGCTGACCGTCTGGAGGGTTTTCAGGGTCTGTAAATCACATGGGAGGAGACTGCCCATCTTTCTCCCTCAGAGCAGGTGGTGGGTTCGAACCACCGGAGGCACCCTCTCTGGTTGAGCAGCATAACTCCCTGTTGACGACGCCACCAGCCACAAAGCAAGGCCCCCATCCTTAGGCCTAGGAACTGTGGAGCGGAGGGGTTTGGCTGTGTCACAAGGTTCGGTCAGTCTCAATCTTTCAAGACTGTGAGGTGATGTTCTAGCAGGTCTTTTTATCGGGGTTCATCTACGGAGATCCTGATCTGAACGTTCAGCACGGTGACCAGGCACTACTTGTTCTCGTTTGGAAGCGGAGGGGGCAGCGGTCCGTGCAGACGCCACCGCCTGGGCTCCAGGACCCCGGAGGCTGAACCTGTTCTCTGTGCCTTGTGGTAACAGCAGTGTTGGCATCTGGGCAAAAATCCCACAACTGCTAAGACAGTGCGATTGAATCCGCACAGGACCCGGTGGGGGAGGCACGTAAAGGCCGCCTCCCTGGAGGTAGAGTCGGTGCCCCAAGCTGCAGCACACCCCTGGAGGTCTCCTCAACTTCCCCTCCGAGGGCCCCCTTACAGTAGCCCAGCAGCTCACGCTCAGGGGAAGGAAATACACAATGTGGTCACAGTCATTCGCAGCCGCCATGACGAAGGCCAGAGTCCCAGGCTGTTTCAGAAGACACTGAGATCCTCAGCTCCTTTCCCCAGCCCTGGCCTCCCCGCTCCCCCTTTCCCGCCACGTTCCCCCCTACAGTCCAGTGACCTTAGGCTCCTCGGCCTGACTTCTGATCAGCCCTCAGGACCACGGATGGGAATGGAATCTGCCCGAGATAAAGCCCCTGACGGCAAGGGCTCTGGGGGCCACCTACCCACGTCGGCCGCGGCCCTGGTCTTGTTGAGGACGTAGGAGTGACTTGCAGGATTCTCTCCGACTAGGATGACGCTGAGGTGCGGCCGCTTGTGGCCCAACGCCACCCACTCGTCCACCTCCTGCCGCACTTCCTGCTTGATCTGCTGGGCGAGCTTCCTTCCAGAGATGACAATGGCTTCATGTCTGCAAGAGGGACAGTCACAAAGGCCAACGAAGATGTGAATTACCGTGGAAACAGCACATGACTAGACACACACACACACACACACACACACACACACACAC